TCCAGGGGGGGGCGGGGGAGGGGAGGGCAGAAAAAGTCCCCATCTCTGTCTGCAGAAGGTGAGGGGGAGAGGAGGGGAGCAGGGAAAAGTCGGTCAAAAGTTCCCTTCTCCTGATGGGGGATTTGAGGGGGGGAGGAAGATGACGACAGCTGGAGTGAACTCAGTCCAGAAGCCAGTCAGGGGTCAGCCTAGGAAGCGCAGAGGGCTTTAAAAATGCTTGAAAGCATGCTGCTGCAGCATGCCTGCTTGCTCATGCCTGAAAAACAGGTATGATTGCAAAGAAGCCAAAGACTGCCAAGTATGTGTCAGTGGCAGACAATGCAAAGTAGTATCCTGCAGGTACCCTACATGCAGATGGTGACAAAAAAACTCTTCTGCACCACCTGCAACCTGGCCCTGGATGTGACTAGGAAAGGCACCATCAATTGGCACCTGGAGTCAGAGGTGCACATGAAAAAGAAAGGTGTTGCAGGGGTTGACAGTCAAAAGAAGAAGCAAGCAACCATGCCCTCCCTCTTCAAAAAGGGTGTGTGCAGACGAAATGGGGACCCTAAGTTGAAGTAGTGGGTTTAAAAAAAAACTGCTTCAATTTAGGGCTGATTAAATCCCCGTGTTGTGCACACACCCCGATGACTTACATGCCTCTTTGGTGGGGAGGGGAGGGCAAGCTGTTGGTGGGCGGAGCAGTCCCTGGGCTGCAGGGGTGGGGGTGCTTCCCTCTGCAGCAGCTGTGGTCCCCCCCAGGCAGCACCTAGACTAAGGCGGTCCTGGGGGCACCACAGCCACGGAGGGAAGCACTGGGCCCCTGTGCAGCTCAGGTAGGCAGAGGAGGCAGGGACGCAGAGATGAGGCTCGCCACTTTTCTGGGGCAAAGCCCACTTCTCCAGGCTGCTGCCAGGCTGTCTGCAGGGCTTCCTGCAGAGCTGTATGGAGTCTGGTGCTTTGCTCCACAGCTGTAGGGGCAGCAAACTAAAACTCGTTGAAGGAGTTTTAGTTTGCTGTGCCCCAAGTCATTTAATTTTACACCGCCAAATTTCTTACAGCCGCTGGAATTAATGCACAACACGCTGCCGAGGCATGCAAACACCAACACCATTAAAGTGGTGCAAAAGCATTTAACCTGCTTTAAAGTGTCGTGCACACATGGTGCTCGTTTCATCTACACCCAGCCGAAGATGACAGGCAGCAGGCTGGCAAGGCAAGAGGCAGCATTTTTCCTTATGGAGGCATTTGCAGCAGTGAACATCTTGCTGGAGAAGCTGGATCACCTGAAGCTGAGGGACTACCTGAAAAAAAAAGGTGCCAATGCTGGCAGTTTTCCGTGTGCTAACAAGCTACGACAGGACTGTCTCCCTGCAGTCATCATTTTGCACACTGAGTCCACAAAGGCTGTCCTTTCAGAGTACAAGTCCTTTTCTGTTGTGGCTGATGAAGCCACCGACCCTTAGGAGAACCTCCTGCTGCACATTCTATTTGTACCAGGGAGCTGGACTGACAGGGACCTCCCAGTATTTCAGGCTGAGCCAGTCCTCCTCTCCTCAGACAATTTTTCCACCATGTCTCAAGCCATAGTGAAGGTACTTTGCAACACGGCATTGACTTTAACCAGGTCTCAGGCTTCCTCTCCAACAGTGCCACATACATGTGCAAAGCTTTCTCTGACATGCTCAAAAGAATGCTGCCCAATGATGTTCATGTCACCTGCGATGCACACATTCTCTCTCTAGTAGGTGATATCTGGTGCACATAGTTCCCTGAGGTGGGCAGCCTGTTGTCCTCCTTCAAAAAAGCCTCCAAGCACTGTCCAAGGTGTAAGATCTGCTACAGGGACTCCATTGCCAGTCAACATGGGGACCCACATGCCACTGTGTCCCTGCCACTGGAGCCTGTCCTCACCTGTGGAACTTGTGGTTCAGTGCGGCCCATTACCATGCCAAACACATGTAGTATTACTAGCAGTCCGTGAGCGAGAAGTTGGATATTGTGCCCAACTCGGTGCCTGCTCAAGCACTGGTATCTGTTGGGGCAAGATGACCTTCAGGATCAAGTGACGTTTGTTGCTGAGAATGACACTGGGTTCATGGAGCTCCTGACATGGTTTGAAGGCAGGCAGGGTGTGATCCATTTGGCATATAACAAACTGATGAACTTGATCAGCTGGATGGAGGACAGGGCATCACAAAAGCTGTCAAGTTGTCCTCAGGAAAACCAATGGAGATGGGAGCTGTTCCAGATATTGGTTGAGTTTTATAGCTATTACAGGTATGATCCATCCCTTCCACCATGGTTCAGACCACCAGCTGCCCCATCCTATATGCAGTTCACATTTTGGACCCCAGTCAGGTATTTCTGCTGAGATGAGACCCTAAACTTCTGAAAGCAATCCCGGGGTGGGGACAGACCATGATGGTGATTGTGCCACTGACAAACTACACAGGACTACCAGATGCCTGTGAGCGTGCCTGAATTTTGGGACTCCGCCCATGACCAGCTTCTCCACTTGTACGCCCTGGCCAAGCTCTGTCTAGGCATCCCAACAAACTCAGTGGATGCTGAGTATGCCATCTCTGCCTACAGACGAGCATTCACCCCACAGAGGCAGGTAGTGTCCCTCTCAAAAGCAGTTGGGTGCAGCATGGTTATGTTTGACTCCTGAACAGTCTCTCTCAAGGTTAGCATGGGTTCAGTAGCATGCTCTTGTTAACGTCCTGTAACAAACTGTATATACCTGATGTTCCTTCCAGTTCATGTTGTGCATAGTACAACTTCATTTTCCTAAGGTCTTTCTGTGTATAGTTTAATTTAAGTGCTGACTTAATAAAGTACATATAGTTGGTATTAGTATAGTACTGGTTTTCCTCTTTAATAACATTTACACTTGGTATTTTTTAAAATTCATTGTCTCCGTTGCTTTATTTTAGCCAGGTAGCTTGCTTTACAACTCAGCTGGGTACGGGAATTGTTTAATCGCCAAACTTAAATTGTTTGTTTACTCCATAATTTTTGCCAGCCACCCCTTGAAGAGGGAGAGAATTAGTGAATTAACAAGGTAGGCAGCTCCAGCTAGGGCTTTCAATCCATGCCTGGGAGGGGTGGGAGCTGCAGTACCCCTCATCCAATTAGAGGCATTTGGGGGGGGGGGGGGGAT